TAAAGATCAAATAAGTTAACACAAATAAAATACTTAGAATAACACACTGTATTAAAAAGTAAACTTAGAAGTGCAAGACAAATGGGCCGGCCCGTGGCTCACTCGGGAGAGTGCGGTGCTGATAACACCAAGGCCACGGGTTCGGATCCCATATAGGGATGGCCGGTTCGCTCACTGGCTGAGCGTGGTGCTGACAACACCAAGCCAAGGGTTGAGATCCCCTTACCGGTCATCTTTTGAAAAAAAAAAAAAAAAATTACTTCTCTATGACTTAAAATACCACAAGCAACGTAATAAAGACAAGCAAAATATCAGGCTGAAGAAAACATTTCAAGTATTGTAACGTACATGATAGAAAAGGGTAAATATCCTTAATACACAAAAAGTTCCTACAAATAAGAAAAAGATAACTTTAACAAAGAGCAAAAGATATGAAGAGGTTATTCACAGAAAAACACAAAGGATTAATAATGAACGTAAAAAGATCCTCATATTGACCAGTGGTCTGAGAAATGCAGATCAAAAAGAGAAACACACTTTCACTTATCAGATGATTAAACCTTAGAAACATGAATGATATCCAGTATTGTCATAGAAGGAGTTAACTGTTACACCTGCTGATGGAGTGTTTTGAGAGAACAATTTAATGGTATCTATCAACATTTTATATGAATGTGTCCATTGTCTTGGCAATTCCACTTTAAGAAATCTACCTGCAGAAATTCTTACAAGAAGGGCCGGTCCTTGGCTCACTTGGGAGAGTGCAGTGCTGATACCAAGGCCACGGGTTCAGATCCTATATAGGGACGGCCAGTGGCTCTCTTGGAGAGCGTGGTGCTGACAACACTAAGTCAAGGGTTAAGATCCCCTTACTGGTCATCTTTATAAAAATTAAAAAAAAAAAAAAGGGGGGGGCCGGCCCGTGACTTACTCGGGGGAGTGTGGTTCTGATAACGCCAAGGCCATGGGTTCGGATCCCATATGGGGATGGCCGGTTAGCTCATTGGGTGAGCGTGGTGCTGACAACACCAAGTCAAGTGTTAAGATCCCCTTACCGGTCATCTTTTTTAAAAAAAGAAATTCTTTTTCTTCTCTATACAAGCACCATGATATCGGGGGCAACTTGGTCCCCCTCACCATTTCCCCCAAGTCTTCCCAGTGGTTCTTGACAACATTCCTGACTCCTGACACCCCCATGTGGACACAGAGTTCCCTGTTCTCCCTGGGCTATTGTTTTTCAGTTTCCTCTAATGAACTATGAAGAACTTGGAAAGGGTCGGAGTCTTACCTGGAAGGCTTTGTGTTAGGCTCCTTAACAAAGGAGGGCACGGTGAAGAGGAAGAAGATCAACGCAGCCAAAAGCAAGGGCCACTGGACACCTTGGCCCAGGCAGCTGGGTCTCCGCAGGCAGGACCTCATGGCGGTATGTCAGGCCCCAAAGGGAATTTCTTTCTGCATGTCCTGAGGCTTTGATGTAGACAGCAGAGAGTCCCTGCTCAGGTCTCCCGGCCAGGGAGTATACACCCTTTATCTTAACAGTGAGCCTCTCCGGTAAATCCGTCTTTGCCAGGGACAGGAGGAACCGCCTTTGCTGCTTAATGAAGTCCTATAGGCTGGCTTGGCTTGAAGCGAGAGAAACTCCTTCTGTTCAAACAAGTTCACCTTCCTTTGCTTTGTCTCTGAAGCCAGTTTCCGACTGTCGTGCTTTGTGAGTAGCACACACACGTTGTGTGCGACCTCACTTTCACCAGGGCACTTGCCCCTCGCCTCGTGTAAGTGGGAAGAGCAGTATAACCCTGGTGGGAGTATTGTCACGATGCCAGGAGGTGACCATGGCGGGTACCCAGCACACGTTCACCATTGCTGTCCAGCCTCGCCTGCTCCCCCTCTGAAGTCATGACTGTTCCAGCAATGACCAGCTCATACGAGGGCTCCCTCCCAGCCAGGCCCTGCGCAATGCCTCGCAGCCACTAATGCAACCCCACTGCCACTCCAGGAGCTGGGCACTGTTACCCATCCCATTTCACAGTTGAAGAAACTGCCTCTGCAAGCGAGCAGCTGGCCTGAGATCACGGAGTGAGCCACTGGCTGGGGGGGTCCGGATCCAACTGACCCACAGATGGTGTTCTCACCCGCTGCACAGCAGCACCTCTGAGAAATCATTAACTTTGCCTTGATTTAAAAAAAAAAAACAAAAAACCACCAAACACAAAAAACAACCCACATAACTCTTGGGAAAAAATATACAACTCAGAGGAGTGATATCAAGACCAGTTGTAGAAAACTAAAAATTTGGAGAAGCCAGCCCTTCATAAAGTACTGTGGGTTCATTTAGAAAATATGGTTTCCAGTGTATTGAACTGCACAGAAGTTTTCAAGCAGTAGAGGTGGGAAAGGTGCCACTTGGAGGGACCTGGGTTCACTGCTCACACCCAGCAGTGTGCATTTCTCCTAATGCTCAGCTTGCATTTCTGTACCCAGAGCCCTTGGCCTTTATCCATGGCACGCAGAATAAGTGATTAAACCACCTTCCCCAGGAAAGATGAAAAAGGTGAGAACACGCCTCCAAGCAGCTGAGAGTAATGCAGACAACTGTGGGCTTCCTTTATCCCATGCCATACATTGTAACTCATGGAACCATTCCAGGAGATGGCTGGGAGCAAGGAGAAAAATCTCTCCTAGTACAGATTCAGCTCCCCTCCCCCTTCCTCATCATGTCTAACCTGTAAGTGCTCATACACTGCCTCTATAAACATTTTCTGAATAGACATGTGTCAAGTCATAACTCTTTGCCCTGACTGGCCCTTTACCCTGAGTTCTCTTATGCACTTGGCACGTGCAATTCTATTCCTACATTCTGGCACTTGTTTGCAATGCTAGGCAAATGAGGTACACTGTGGAAAGGGATTTTCTTACCCATAGCATTGGTTTGACTAAACGGAGTGTCTCTTTCACCTCGCCCTATGTTCTGAAGAAGGTTCTGGCTGTCAGTGTTCCCTGACTTCCACGGGACTTGAAGATCTAGTTGAGCTCCTGAGCACAAGCTGAGCTACTGTGGAAAATCTGTGTCTCTCACCACCTCAGGGGTGGATTGAACTTGAGGTGAGCTGGTGGGGGCGGGATAATCCAGAGGTCTAGTTTCCTGGTTCTCCTGAGAGAACAAGTCCCATGCTGCTGTAGTGTGTGTCTAGGCAGAATGAGGAACCAGAGAAATACATGTGTTAACGAGACTGACTTTTCAAACATCATTACAATTCTTATGACTGGTAAGATCTACTTTTCTCCCCCTTTGAAACTAAAGCTTTTTGTGTATTTTTTTGTTTGTTTTGGCAGCTGGCTGGTATAGGAATCAAAATGAAACTAAAGCTTTTGGCTTTAGTCTTTATACACCAGGCAACAGGATGTGTCAGAACTTACATGCAGTGAAGAGTTGTCAACAGATAATTTTCAGTAAAACGTAAAATCATGACTCTCAAACAAACAGGAGGCACGAAAATATGTTAAAGATTATATTCTGCCCAGGAGAGAACCAGGCAGATGTAATAGCCAATTCAAAAGAGAAGTGCAGAGGCAAAGATTAATTTAGAGTTAGGATTGTTGAAATGAATTGCAAGTGAGAACAAAACTGGTTTTTCCACAGGGATGAAGGAAATCAGACAGGACAAAATTTGCATGTCTATCAACTACCTACAATTTCAAGTTAGAAAATTGCTCAAAGGCAATGGAAGACTGAAATCAGCTGACCTGGAGGGGTGTCCTCTGCCAATGCACACCTCTCCGCTGTGACACTGCAGTTTTGAGTATGAAGCCTTGGAATCCTTGACGAGTGTCAGCCACTGGATCATCTCTGCTGTAAGATATACTTGATGACTTAGAGGAATTCTGGATTAAATGGAAACAGGCTGAACTTCCTAGAAGTCAGCTTGCTCACAGTATTCCCTTATAATCTTTTTATTTCTATATGGTCAGTAGTGATGTCCCCTATTTCATTCTTTTTTTTTTTTTCTTTTCATTTTTATTATTTTCCCTATTTCATTCTTGATTTTAGTAATTTAGTAATTTGGTCAGTCTAGCTAAAGGATTGTAAATTTTATTGATCTTTTCAAAGAATCAATTTTTGGTTTTCTCACTCTTCCCTATTATTTTTCAATTCTGTATTTATTTCCACTCTAATTGTTATTATTTCCTTCCTTCTGTTACTGAATTAGACTCTTAGGTCACAATGTCATCAAAATGAACAAAGCACCCGGCAGAATTTAAGGCAAGCAACGCTTGATTAAAAAGAGACAGACATGGGGCCGGCCCAGTGGCGCACTGCTACAGTGCGCCACTTGGGAGCGTGGCGGCACTCCCGCGGAGGGTTCGGATCCCACATACAGACCGGTTCCCACTCACTGGCTGAGCGAGGTGCGGGCGCAGCACCGAGGGTTGCGGTCCCGTTGCCGGTCCCCGGTCCGGTGCGGGGGCAACACTGAGGGTTGCGATCCGTTGCCGGACACGAAAAAAGAGACAAAAAAAAAAAACAGAAGTTGGGGAAGGGTTCTTAAAGGCAAGCAGTCCCTCAACTGACGTCAGTATCTTGTTTTGATCATTTCTGATATCTTCACGTGGTCGTGGGGGGGCCAGGAGGGGTCAGTTCCAGGAGTATCCTGTCTGCAACTCCCAAAGGGGCCTCAAAGTTAACCTGTAACTTAGTTTTATGATCACAGGGAAAGAAAGAATGGGTAGATAATGATGTTTTAAGTAAAGAACAAGCCTTGGGGAGGGGATTTTGCAACTCAGTGAATATCTGTTCTGTTCTTTGGGCGGACCATGGGGTAATCACGTGCCCTGGGTGGGGGTCCCATGACTTAGGAGTGGAAAAGTGACATGCTGTCCTCTGCCCGGAACATGGAATCAGTTTGGCTCACAGGCCTAACCCTAGCCTGTCTCACTTCTACTCGATTCAGGTTTAGTTTGCTTTTCTTTTCATTGTTTCTTAAAATGGAAGGGTAGGTTATTTATTTGAGATATTCCTATTTTAATACAGGTTTAAAACTTCCCTTTAAGCACTGCTTTTTCTCGATTCAGGTTTAGTTTGCTTTTCTTTTCATTGTTTCTTAAAATGGAAGGGTAGGTTATTAATTTGAGATATTCCTATTTTAATACAGGTTTAAAACTTCCCTTTAAGCACTGCTTTTGCTGTATCCGTATGTTTTGGTACATTGTGTTTCACTCCTCTCAAAGTACTTTCTGATTTTCCCTTGTACTTCTTCTCTGACCCACTGGTTATTTAGGAGTGTTGTATAATTTCTACATATTTCTGAACTTTCCACATTTCTTTCTATGGTTAATTTTTAATTTAATTCCTTGTGGTTGGAGAACATAGCTTGTATGCTTTCAATCCTTTAAAATTGATTGAGGTTTATGGCCGAGCACAGGGTCTACTCTAAAAAATGTTCTTTGCACGCTTAAAAAGAATGTGTTGCTGTTGTTGGGTGGAGTGTTCTACGGATGTCTATCAGAAGATTGGTTTACAATCTTCTCCGTCCTTGTCGACTTTCTGCTTCATAGTACTTTCCATTATTGAAACCATTATTGTGGAAGGGTCCATTTCTCCCTTCAATTCTGTCAGTTTTTGTTTCGTGTATTTTGGAGGTCTGTTGTTAGGTGTGCATGTGTTTGTGATTGTTATATCTTCTTAATGGAATGACCCTTTTATCATTATAAAATGTTGGGCTTTATCTCTAGGAGCAATTTTTATCTTAAAGCCTATTTTGTCTGATATTAGTATATGTAGGGGCTAAGGGAAAACTTCCCCTTCAACCCCCTGATGGTTCTCCGAAAAATCAACTAATAAACAGATTAATATGAAGAAAAGGCAAAACAAATTTTATTATTTTAACCTGCTGGGAGGGGGCAACGCACAGGGGAATCACAAGAGAGTACCTTCCCAATTTTCCAGTGGGGTACAGAAGCTTGTATTTCCATAGAGAAAGGGGAGATGGGCGTGTAGGAGTAAATGATTTTTAGGGGACTCAATGGGCCTAGAGAACATACAATGACCCAGGACAAAGTCTATTTGGCTACAGAGCAAACAATGACTGGTAAATGATTCTCTTCAAAATACTGAATGAGACCTAAATAGAAGATAATGGCCTGTGACAAAAGCTAGTCCAGGTGTGTTGACAGACTCTAGCCTTCCTTCCTGTGATATGAATCAAGTTAATGAAAACTCAGGGAAAGGACCAGATGTAACTCTCCTCTTCCTTGGTGGGTCTGCACTTTAGGCAGACAACAGACCAGCTTCATCCCATGCTTTGGAGAGAGACAGAGGATTGAGAGATGGTGGGGTGGGGGAGGTCAGACAGACCTTGAGTCTGCTGCTTTACTCCAGGATGTCAGAGCACTTGAGCCCCAACATAGTCATCGCATCTCTC